ATTTATGTATATGCAGGTCTGTCCTGGAGAGGGTGCAGCCAAGCTAACCTTGGAGACAAGGATTTTGAGGCTCTGCCTCACATACTTTGGGGATGTTGCTAGGAGGGACCAGTCCTTAGAGAGGGACATCATGTTTGGAAGGGTGAAGGGACAGCGCAGGAGAGGAAGATCCTGGATGAAATGGATTACCACAGTAACTGGGGTAATGGGGGTATGTGTCAGAGGCAGTGAGATTGGCTCAGGATAGAGCAGGGTTCAGAGCTATTGTGCATAGGGTTGCTATAAGTCAGAATCAACTCAATGACACATAACAACGTGTGTGTGTGTGTGTGTGTGTGTGTGTGTAATATGAATTTTCAGGAAGAGTTCTAGAAAAATATTGTGGTGAATCGGTAAATCTGAAGGCAGCGTAGGTTTTGGGTTTCCTTGCCTGGCATCATTAGAAAGGTCTTGTGGCCGGTTGTGGTCATGCGTGCCTGTAGTCCCAGCTACTCAGGAGGCTGACGCTGGAGGATTGCTTGAGTCCAGGAGTTCTGGGCTTTAGTGTGCTGTGCCAATCATGTGTCCACACTAAGTTCAGCATCAATATGGTGACCTCCCAGGAGAGGGGAACACCAGGTTGTCTAAGGAAGGGTGAACCAGCCCAGGTCAGAAATGGAGCAGGTCAGAAAGTTATTGTGAGTGTCACTTGGGTGCTGTTGTTGTTGTTATGTGCCGTCGAGTCACCTGTGACCCATAGCGACCCTATTTACAGCAGTTCTGAAGTCTGCTCTGTCCTGAACCAGTCTCACTAATTCTGACACACCAACCCCTATTGAATCTTCAGTCACTGAATCCATCTCACCCAGGTTCTTCCTCTCCTATGCTGTCCCTCCACTCTACCAAGCATGATGTCCTTCTCCAAGGATTGGTCCCTCCTGGCCACATGCCCAAAGTAAGTAAGGCAGAGCTTCAAAATCCTAGCCTCTAAGGAGAGACTTGGTTTCACTCTCTCAAGGCAGAATGCTATATGGAAGTACAAAAGCAAACTCCTCAGAGCCAGTTAAATCAAGTAATGGTGCATCCACATGGGTGGTTTAGAATGTAATGGTGTTATCATGGGTGTTATTGTCAGGTGCTATCAAGTGGACTATGACTCATAATGACGCTGCAAACAGCAGATCAAAACCTTGCATTATCCTGAGCCATTCCATTGTTACAGTCACTGTGTCAGTCCATCTCCTTGAGGATCTTCCCCACTTTCATGGACCTTTCACCTTTCCCAGAATGATGTCTTTTTCCAAGGACTAGGCCTTCCTGACAACATTCCCAAAGTGTGTGAGATAAAGTTTCACCGTCCTTGCCTTTAAGGAATATTTTTGTTACAGTTCCTCCAAGACAGACTCTTTTGTTCTTTTGGCAGTGCCTGGGATGCTTGATATTCTTTGCTAATAATTCCACAATTCGAATGCCTCAAGTCGTTCGTGGTCTTCCCTATTCATTGTCCAACTTTTACATGAATTATAACACGATTAAAAATACCATGGCTTGGATCAAGTGTGTCTTAGTCTTTAAAGAGGCATCCTTGCTCTTTAGCACTTTAAACAGGTCCCTGGCGTCGCCTTTGCCTGATATAGCACATCTTTTGACTAGGGACACTCTGGTTGCCATTGAAAGAATCCCAACTCATGGTAACTCCATGTGTGTCAGAATAAAACTACTCCACATGGCTTTCAGTATCTGATTTTTTGGATGTAGGTTGCCAGTCCTTTCTTCCAACATGCCTCTGAGTGGATTCTAACTTCTATATTTGGTTTAACAACTGAGCATATTAATCTTTAGACTTTACTGATTCAATAGGAATAAAAATCACACAGAGTGCTTTTTCTCTTGTGTGAAGTTAACAAATCATGTTGGTTTTTCATTCAATCATTCACAGACATTTAATTTTATAACATTAATCACAATTGTTGTTGTTATTATTAGGTGCCTTTGAGTCGACTACAGGCCATAGCAATCCAATGAGCAACAGATTTGAACCCTGCCCTATCCTGTGCCATTCTCACACTTCCTGACACACTAGAGCCCATTGCTGCAGTCACTGTGTCAATCCACCTGGTTGGGGGTCTTCTCCTTTTCAACCCTCTGCCTTTCTGAGCATCATGTCTCTCTCCAAGGAATAACTTCTCCTAGCAAAATCCCCAAAGCACGTGAGCAAAGCTTTCTCATCTTTGCCTCCAAAGAGCCCTCTGGCTGTACCCCCTCCAATATATATCTGTTTGTTCTTGCAGTCCATGGGATATTCCGTGTTCTTCTCCAACACCACACAGCTCAAAGGTATCAACTCTTCTCTGTCATCCTTATTCGTTGTTATTCATTGTAAGTAATAACAATTGTTGTTGTTGTTGTTGTTATGTGCCGTCGAGTCGTTTGCAACTCATAGTGACCCTATGTACAACAGCTCTAAACCCTGCTCTATCCTGTGCCAATCGCATTGTCTCTGACACACCCATCCCGATTACCCCAGTCACTGAATCAATCCACCTCATAGAGGGTCTTCCCCTCCTGCGCTGTCCCTCTACTCTACCCAGCATGATGTCCCTCTCCAAAGACCTGTCTCTCCTTGTAACATGTTATTATGTATGTAATAACAATTAGTTTGTGTAAATAATTGCAAAGTCTAATTAAGTCCTTATTCCTTCACCCAACTTATCTCTTCATTAATTTTTACTATCTTCTCCCTCCCTCCTACCTTGAGGTGACCTTTAACAAAAAATGTACCCCCTAAAGTCGTCTTAAAACCATACAATGATGTAGCTTAACTCTAGAGATTTTCTGCCATGAGCATCTGCTCTTCAAATTTATAAAAACAACTTTGAAAGATTAGGTGGGAACCTTGGGGGGGGGGCTGAGTTTATGTCAGTAATGGAGGGAAAAGGTGGAGGAGGACACACATGGTTGCCGGACTTAATGACATCATTACCACTGAATTATACATGTAGAAACTGCTGGATTGCTGGTTTTCTGTATATGTTTTTAGCAACAAAATAAGTACATAAAATGAAAAAAAAATTAAGTACTTTAAAAGAACTGTGGTGTTTGTTAAAGATATAGATAGCTTTTGTCTTGACTGGCAAGGTTTTTACCTTAGCAAAGCAGGACTAATGTGAATAGACAGTGATTCCAGGTGACCACCCAAAATTACAAAACAACTCAATGCATTATCATCAAGTCAGAAGGGACTCTTGGTTGACCTTCCAGTGGGTCTTCGAGGCTGGAAATTCCATGGGAAGAGAGTACTCATTTTCCTCCCCCAGAGGGGCTACTGGATTTGAACCCAAAGAAGCTTGACCTTTATAGTACAGCTGGTGGAGCTGAAAGCAGTGAGTCTCAAACTCGACCATGCATTTGAGCGTGCTGGCATCTTGCTATAAGGTACATGCAAGTTCTCAAGGTCTAGGATGAGTCCCGAGACTCAGCACTTCTAAAAAGCTCCAGGGTGATGCTTTAGAAACTTGGATTGCTTTTTCTTTCCTTAGGAGCTTGCTACTTTTTTATTTGGACCATGGACACCTAGGCTGGGCTGTCACCACACAGCTTACCCATCTTATTCATCTTGGCCCTTCTCTTCTCATTTTTGCAGATGAACACCAATTGCGTCTTGCCATTCCATCAACTGTAACAGAAGCTCCAGATCCCAAGGCAGCAGAGGATTTCCCCAAGACAGCGCGGCAGCCCTGCTCCCCAAACTCCAAGACCATGGAGCTCTCGGACAGCGACCGTCCCGTCAGCTTTGGCTCCACGTCTTCTTCGGCCTCTTCCCGAGACAGCCATGGCTCCTTCGGCAGCAGGATGACGCTGGTGTCAAATAGCCACCTTGGCTTGTTTAACCAGGACAAGGAGGCAGGAGCCATCAAGCTGGAACTGGTTCCGGCCACACCGTTCCCCAGCAGCGAGCTGCACAGAGCTGAGCCAGGCGGGCAGCAGGGACCGGAGGGGACAGGAGAGAGGCAGCCCCGAGCCCCATGGAGAGTGGAAGCCAGCGGGGCCACCGAGGCCAGCACAGAATCCCCCTCGAGCCCCAAACTCCTCTACGTGGATCGAGTGGTGCAGGAAATTCTAGAGACCGAAAGGACATACGTGCAGGATTTAAAAAGCATCGTAGAGGTAAGGCCCACTTTGTCTTTAAAATTCATCAAACAGGAGAAAACATGTTTACAAAATATGCATTGTGCCGAGCCCGGTGTCAGAGGTGCCTTGAACCCTCAGGTGCAGAAGTGATGTTTATAGTGAAGCAGTTCATGATTGAGGAGAACCCCTCGGGCCACCCTCTCTGCTTTGTACTCTCATCACATCATGTTGTTCTCCAGCCCAGCGTGGCCATGTGCTTGTCAGAAGGGAAGGTGCCTGGTTGTACTCCATCTTCCTGATCTTTGGCTTATTTGAGTCCATTGCGGCTGTTGGGTCAACCCGTCGCACCAGCATCTCTTGTTTGAGATGATCTTTTATTTCCCTGTCGTGATGTCCTTTCCTGAGAATTGGTCTTTCCTAAGGACCTGCCCAAGTCCAAGTTGACGTCTTGTCATCTTGCTTCTAAGAAGCCCCCAGTTCTTTTTCTTCTTTGGTTGATTAGTCGGTTCTGGTGAACATTCAATATTTGCATTAACATGTGGATTATGCATTTACAAATAAGAACGATGATTAAAAAGAAACACTTTTTGTGAGTTGATGTGACTCATGGCGACCCTGCCTTTGGTGTTAAAGTAGAACTATGCCCACAGCATTCAGCGCAGCTGATTTTTCATAAGCATATCACTAGACCTTTCTTACAAGGTACCCCTAGGTGCCCTGGTAGCCTAGTAGGTAAGGAATTGTGCTGCCAGCCTAAAGGCAAGCACTTCGAATCCCCTAGCTGCTCCAAGGGAGGGAGATGGGCAGTTCCTCCTGTGTGATTTACAGCTTCTGAAAACCCATTAGAGGGTCATCTGTGAGTTGGTCCCAACTTGATGGCAGTCAGTTTACCACCAGACCTTCCAGAGTGACCCCCGATAAACTTGACCCTCTTGGCTATCAACCTTTCTTCCAAAGTGACTCTAGATAAACTTGACCCTCTCAGGCTTTCAGTTAGCAGCAGACCCTTTGCACCACCCAGAAGCTCTGTGAAGGATGAGTTTGTGCCCAGTAATTATGGCACTGGCGTGTCAGCAGAGGGTCTCTGAGAACCTTGCCAGTAAAGCAAGCAGAGGATGGAGCAGGGCCAGAAGCAGCCTGACTTGGGGTGTCAGGTGACAGACAGGGCAAGTTCACCATCCTGCCCTTAATCACAAGTGTGCGCCTGTCTGCACTCTGAAATCAGCTGCTTCCTTCAAAATAAATAAAAAGCCCTAACCCCACCCTCAGAGACGGAGCTCATTGGGCTGGTTGCCCAGGTGATTCTCAGGTGCAGAAAAGTCTGAGAACCAGGGTGCTGTGCCCTGTTCTGTATCAACTGGGGGTTCAATACAGGAGGAGGAGAGAGGGGAAGGGTGAGGACACAACTCTAGACTCTGTCTTTGGACAGTTTACTTTCTGTGCCTTTTGTAGCAAAAAGTTTTGCATCGTTAACTCCCTGTGAATTGGGCTCAGCTGATTTGCTGGGCCACGTGCTCTGGTAACCCACTGATTAAATTTTACTTTGATTTCTAAGTAGACTTTAAAGAAGAAACTATTTTCTCATTTAATAATAAAAAATTGTGTAATGTTTTGCAAAAAAAAAGAAACTAAGGATTACCAGAGAAGCTTAGATGTTGGTACATTCTTTGTGTGTGTGTGTGTGTGTGTGTGTGTGTGTGTACCGTCAAATCAGATGTGACTGGGAGGAGATTGCCCCTCCTTCTCCAGCAGAGCATCTGGTGGATTTGAACCACGTACCTCTGGGATTGCAGTGCAGCGTCTTACCTTCTTACTAGGCCACCAGAGCTCCCTTAGATATTGATATTGGTACATTCTTTTTTTTTTATTGTATTATTTTTACATGTACCGTCAAATCAGATCTGACAGGTACAGGAGGAGATTGCCCCCTCGTCCAGCAGAGCATCTGGTGGATATTGGTACATTCTTAATGTATGATTAAATATATTAAGACTCTAAGGGCAAGTGTAGCAGCTTTGCTGCTTGATACTACAATGTCACATTCCTCCCTGTGTTACGTATGTACTCACTTCCTCTTTAGACTTTTCATCAAAAGTCTGTTTCTGGCTGGAATAGAGTTACTCGCTGATGAGAACATTCTCCACCAAATACATACATTCATACAACTTTAGAAGAGGAGAAAACCCCTACCCAGTCCTAAAGCGTTACTGTGCATTATATGTTCCACACAGTATACTAAAAATAGCTATGACATAACTCACCAGTAAAAATAGAAAAGTCAATTGATGCTCAAGCAAAACAATATGTTGTACTAAATGTCAAACAAAGCAGCCAATTTAAACACACACACACACACACACACACACACACACACACACACACACCCCCAAAAGCCTTTCAACAGTGATGTCATCTGTACTTGAGAAGAAATACCTGTGAACCTGCCAAAAATGTTACAACCTGTCAGGAAACTTGACGTTGCCCGTTGCCAAAGCTTGCTTTGCTCTCTGCATTCTTGCCTTTCATTCCTTCATGGAAACCTTTCTACCTAATCAAAACTGACACTACAGAGAGAGAGAAACCCTTTATTCCTGCACTCGTAATTTCTTGAGGCTTCTTTTTTCTCCTAAAGCTTTTTTTAGAAATCTTACAGTAAAAATCGGGAAAGCAAGATAAGAATTTTAAAGAATCAGATGAAGAACATTTTTTTTTCCCTGTGAAAGTTCTGGTGGGAGTTCTGTTCCAAGCTGTCCAGTTGTTCTTTGCTTTTCTTCTTTACCCAAGAATTAAACACATGACTCAGAGCAGAGTCTGCAACAGTTACAACAGCAAACCGTGGTTTGCACTAGGAATTGGTGAACTTTTCTGGAAAGGGGCAGATGGGGCCCCAAAGCCTCTGTCACGGCTCCACTCTGCCCTTGAACTTAACAGCAGCTCTGGACATTCAGCACATAAACAAAAGGGAGTGGCTGCATTCCAGTAAAGCTTTAGAGTCACCGTCTGCTGACCTTGTTTTTAAGACTGTAAAAGTATGGCTAAGTTCACCAACTGTAAAATAAAAGTGATACAATATATCAAAAAGTGATACAATATACCAAAAAGTGATACAATATACCAAAAAAGTGATACAATATATCTGCCCCCTACTGCTATTATGAGAACCAGATTTGCTAATATATGAAAGGAAGTGAGTGCTTATTGCAATCTGCAAACTCAAAGGTTGGAAGTTTGAGTTCACCTAGAGGTGCCTTGGGAGAAAAGCCTGGTGATCTATATCTATATATCTGTGTATCCATATCTCTATATCTACATCAATCTATCTAACTGATCCAATAGTTCACCCCATTTTACCTACTTTATGATGTTGAGGTTGATGGTAGGTGCATTTGTGTAGGTTCACAGAGACCCTGCCCAGTCCTGTGTCTCCCTCACTGTCTTTGAGCACGCTGGCATGGCCACTGTGCCGGTCCAGCTCACTGAAGTTCTGCCTCTTCACTGCCTCTCTGCTTTTCCCCAGCATGATGTCCTTCACCATGGACTGGTAACATGTCCAAAGTGTGTGAAACAAACCCTCACCATTCTGTCTTCTAAGGGCCATCCTGACTGAGTTTTATAAAGAGGAAGCTGTTACTTCCCTGTCTGCAACAACTCTGCTAGTATTTTTTATTACAATGCATATTCTTTTAAAATACGCATTGCCTGTTTCTTTTAAAATCTGTTTTCCTTCATCCATTTTCTAATGTGTGTTGATAATTGTCAAGTTGACTTCTCTAATAGCTTTAATTTTCAAATGCAGCACTTTAAACTGAGGAAAGGTCTGTTCACTTGCTCCCTGCACTGGGCGCCTTAGGTACTCAAAAGGCAGACCTGCTAGGGAGTCAACTCTTCCTGAGCAGGATTTAGTTCTGAATTGGCTGAGTGGTAAAAGTGTGTGCTGACAACCTGAAGTCACATGGTTTGAACCCACCGGCTGCTTCGCAGGAGAAAAACGAGCAGCCAACTCTAGTAACATTTACTGTCCCTGAAAACCCACTGGAGGGTCAGCTATGAGTAGGTTCAGACTCAGCAGCACATAGCAACAATAGCTAACTGAATTGAATTTTTTGTACAGAGGTAATTCATGGTTGCTGTGAAGCTGGACACTGTGGCACTGATGTGTTAAATACGAGAATGGTTACTTATGATGGACAGTGTTTGGTGGAGCTCCCTGATTAAAACAAGCTTGGAAGCAGGAGTGGCATCCACTTCTGAAATGTCTTGCCTCTAGAAACCTCATGAACCTGGAGAGAGGATGGAAGTTATACAAGTGTTCAGATCTTTCATTTAAAGGGTTGCTATATGTCATCTACGACTCAACAGCATTTAGCAACAACTAGACATTGAGATTGTTCACAGCTTTAGTTTGCTTGGCTCCACAGTCAACACTCTCGGCAACAGCAGCCAGGAAATTAGAAGACGTATTGCCATGGGAAAGTCTGCTGTTAGGGACCTCTCCAAAGTAGTGAAGAGCAATGGTGTCTCTCTGGAGACTAAGGTGCGTCTGATATAGGCCATGGTCTTTGCTATCACTTGTTATGCATCAGAGAGTTGGACAATGACTAAGGAGGATAGGAGGAGAATTGATACCTTTGAGTGTGGTGGTGGAGAAGAGTATTGAGGGTGCCATGGACTGCTAGGAAAACAAACAGATTCATCCTGCAAAGGGTCAAACCGGGTGGCTCCTTGGAGGCAAGGTTCTAAGGCTCTGTCTAACATACTTCGGACATGTTGCAAGGAGAGACAGGTCCTTGGAGAGGGACATCATGCTTGGTAGGGTGGAGGGACAGCACAGAAGGGGAAACCCCCTGTGAGGTGGATTGATTCAGTGATTGGGGTAACCAGGATGGGTGTATCGGAGACGGTGCGATTGGCACAGGACAGAGCAGAGTTTAGGGTTGTTGTACATAGGGTTGCTATGAGTCGCAAGCAACTCAACGGCACATAACAACAACAACTATATACATATATATATGTATATTCAGGAGGATAAAGTATGA